TTTTGGGCAAACCTTTGAAACCTTTTCTCTAAATTTTTTGAGGGCGCTTGCCCGGGTTTGTGGGTTAAAGCCCCTGGTGCTGCTTTCCCTTTTTGGGCCCTAACATCACAGTTTTACAGTGTTTGAACGATTCCTTTTTAAAAGGTTTCGGAAAACCTATTCTAAAGGTTTGCCGGGGCCCCCCCCGTAGGGCTCCCGCATTTAAATTGGTTGATGTGTGACCCGGTGACGTGCTCGGTGTTATGGTCCCCCCAAGGTCTTTCCCCCCCCCCCCAAGTGGGTTTTGAGTCTTGTTTTCCTACCCTATACTCTGTCTGCGCATTTCTTTCCCCCTCCCCTTTCTTCATTTTTTTTGCTTTGGGGCAGGGTTGAATTCGAGAAGCCAGTTTCGGGGAAAAATTTGTCTAGCCGGTAAATCTTTTTGGGTTGGTTTGCCTCATCCTCTTTTCCGAAAAAAAATTTTCTTCTAAAAGCTTCACATCTTTCTGGAATAGGGACACTTAAAGAGTTTTTCCCTTTCCTTTCATGTCTTTTCGAATAAAAATCAAAAATAGCACTGGTCCTAGTACTGCCCCCCCCTGGGGGAAACCCCCCCCCCCGTTTCCGTTAAGGCGCCCACGGTGTTCCCTCTTCCCTTCCATGACGCTTTTGTTTGCCCCCCTGTCGGGTTTTTCCCCTTTTGTTTAAATTGCAGTCCCCTTTCCCTGTTAAAATGAAACCTGACCCTTTCCAAAGCTTTTTTGAAATAATCTTTGGGGGGAAAAAATGTGAAAAAAAGGGCCTTCCGGCAGTCTGGGAAAAAACCGAAAAAGAAAAAAAAAAAACCCCACCCCCCCTTTTCCGTGTCTTTTTTTTGTTATTTTGTCAAAAAAACTCCAGAAGTTTTTGTGAAAAGGTTTTGCCTTCCTGAAAGGCTGGTTTTAAATTTAAAATCTTTTTTCCTTTCCCCGGTGCCCCCACCACTTTTCCTCCTGATAATCTTCCCCTGAATTTGACAAAAAACCCTGTCGAGAAAAAGGTCTGTATTTTTTGGGCCCCATTCTTTTTTCCTTTTTTAAAATTTTAAATTGGGGAATACATTTGTGTTTTTTCCTTTTCCCCAGGTAGTTCCCCCAGTTTAAAGGGGATGTTTTAAAAGGGATTGTGGTTAGGGGCACCCCACAAAAATCTTTTTGTTTTCCTTTCAAAGGGGCCCCAAAGGGGGGAGATGTCCGGCCCCCTCGCCTTTGAGGTATAAAGGTCACTTAGCAGCTTTTTTGCCCCTCCTCCTGGGTTTGGGTTTTTTTCTTCCATAAAAAATTTTTGGGTATATTCCCCCCTTGGGATGTTTTTTTCTGTGCTTTTTTTTCCCCACACCCTTCCTGTCTTTTTAAACTGTGAAAATTTCCCTTAAATACCCTTTTTTCCCTCCTCCATCCCCTCCTGATTTTTTCTTGTAGTTCTCCCCCCCTTCTTTTCCTCAGTCTGATACCTGGTCTTTGACTTTGCTTCCCCCTGAGTTGCAAAACGAGTTTCGGGTCGTCTTGATTTTCGATGCTATGTTTTTTTTCATCCCCCTACCCTTTGGGGGGCCTCCCTTTTCCCTTTTAACCTGTGCATACTCTTTCCGGGCTTGTGCTTTTTTCCCCCTTTTTTTTATGTGTTCTTGCTTTTCTGTATTTTTTTTTCCTTTCTCTTTTGAAATTTTGTTTTTTGGCCTCCTTAAAACCGTCGGGTTTAAACCAGGGGCCGTTCTGGTCTTCCCCCATTGTTTCGGGTTTCCCCTTTTGGAAAAAACCCCTTTTTTTCCACTGCCTCCTTGCTTTTTGTTTTTACAAAACCCTTCATTTCATTTCGGTTTTCCTCCCAGTTCCCCTGTCCCCAGGGAAACCCCCTGCGGGAATTTTCCTTTAAACCCAAATGTAGCCCCTCTTTTAAGGTCTGGCTTTCCCCATTAAAAACTTGTTTCTTTTTCCCCCACTTTGAAACTCAAACATGAAATTCAAAGCACAAAACCCAGGGGGATAAAAACTAGCTCCTAGGGGCCCCTCTTATGGGGATGCCCCTCAATGTTTAAAAAAAATTTTCCCCCAGGGTGAACCAAGGGTTTAAATTCTTGCTGGTTCTTTCCTCCCCCCACTCTGGTTGTGTCCTTGAATTTTTGGGTGCTGGGGGTTTTCCCCCAGCCCCCCAATAAAACCAAAATTGGCAAAACCCCCCCAAATTTTTTCGGGACCAACCTGTGGCCCCCAGGGGGTTTTTTCCCCAAAAAATTTCCCCCCCCTGTTTTAAAACCCCCCAAAAAACCACAATTTTTCCCCCTTGTGGTGGGGCTCTTTTTGCCCCTCAGCAAGTGTGAAACCATTCCCTTTTTTGTCTTTCATATTCCTCCCCTTTTCCCCCTCCCGCAGTTTGGGGTGGTTTTAAAATACTGAAATTAAACCACTTGGTGCCCCCCAGACTGAAGGTCCCTGCTATGTGGGCCCTTTTCCCCTTTGTCTCGTCTATGCCTCCCTTTTTCCCTAAAATTTTTTAAATCTGTTTTTTCCCGGCGGGCGAAACCCCCTCCCCCCCCCTCGGGGCCCCCCTTCATTTTTCCTCATGATCTGGTATCCGGGGTGGGAAGATTGCACTTTTAAATTTTTTGCTGTGAGTTTTGTTTTCTGTAATTGTATGGGGGCTGGGACTTTCTTTGGGTTTTTCTTGCCTTTCCCTCTTTTTTTTTTCGTTTTTTAAAATTTCAAATTGTGAAACCAAACCTTTTAAATTCTTTTCCCAAATACTGAAAACTGTGGTCCTGGGGGAAAAACTGAGGTTGGGGTGCAGGGGGCCCGGGTTTGGGGGGGCCTGGGGGGGGGTTTTGCAAGGGGAAAAAAATTGGAAGAAGAGCTCCCCAAAAGGGGTTTTGTTTGTAGGGGGGGGTTTCCCTTTGGTTTGGGGTGTGGGAAAAATCGGGTGTTGAGGGTTTGGGTTTTTGGAAAAATTTTTTCCCGGGGTTCCCTTTGGGGGTGTCGGGGCGGGAGCCCTTTTCTGCAGGTGTTTTTTGCGGGGTATCTTGCCCTTTCCCCCACCTTTTTCCTTTTGGGTTTTTTCTCCCCTCAAAACTTTTTTTTTTTCCTTCCCCCTTTTTTCCCCCCCTTTCCCCCTTTTTTTTTTTGCCTCTCTCTTTCAGTATCTTCCTTTTCCTTTTTTTTGGTTTTTCTGTCTCGATCGAGGGAAAAACACCCTTCTTTAACCCCGGTTTGCTTCTCACCGGGTGCTTTCCCCCCTGCGGATAAAGGGTTTGGGTTGATTTTTTAACCCTTAAAAAAATTACTTTGGGGGGGGGCCCGACCCTTTTTTCTTTGTAAACCACCCGATTCCCCAAAAAATTTGCCCCTGGGTCATGTTTTTCCCCTGGGCCTATCCCCTTCATGATCCCTTTTAAAAATCCCGTTTTTTTTTCCCTCCCCCTTGCTTTTTTTCATCTTTAAGTTTCCCCCCTTAAAGTTTTCGGTTTTCCCATAGACAAAAAATAACTTTTCCTTCCCCTTTTCCACCCCCCCCACTGTGATTTTCCCAAATTGAAATCCCTAAGGGGTTTTTTTTTTTTAACCTTTCCCCCGGGGAGGTTTTCCTTCCTTCGCCCTTTTTCCTGGCTTTTGGCCCAATGTCTTTGGGTTTTTTTTTTTCCCTTCGTGCTCACCTGTTTTTTGGCCCCCAAAAAAAGTGCCCCTGGAAAGGGGGGGGGGGGGGCCCCGCACATGTCCTGTTCCTTAAATGCCCCTTCCAACCTCTCTTTTTTCTGGCCCTAGTGTGCCCCTGTTTTTTTTTGGGCCCCCCCCCTTGTGGGTTTAAACAGGCCCCCTCTGCATACGTTTTACCCTTCCATGCTCCCTTCAGACATTTGTGTCTGTTGAAAATTATTGCGGGGGGGCTTCTTCTGTATTTCATTTTCTCTAGGCTTTTTTCAGATTTCCCCGGGGTTTTCCCAATCTAATCTCTGTATCTTGGCTTTCTGCTTAAATGTTGGGAAAAATTTTCTCCCACGTTTCTGCATTTTGCTGCTTTAAACCCTCCCCCTCCATTTTTTCCCTTTGCTTTTGGGGTTTAACCCAAACCTCCTTCCCCCGTTTTTTTTCCTCCCCTTTTTTTGATTTTTTTTTCTGGGGCCCCCCTGTCCTCCCTCCCCCTATTCGTCCTTTCCCCCCGGCCCCTTTGTTCTCATCCCGTTCTAAGGGGCCCCCCTTGCCAAACCAAAAGAAGGGGGGGAAGATATTGGGTTTGGGGGAGGGGAATAGAAAGGTTTGGGGGGGGTGGGGGGTGGAAAGGGTTTTTGGGGGGAAGGGGGGGGTTTGGGTTTTTTGGAAGGGGGGGAAAATTTGGTTTTAGGGGTGGGGGTTTGGGTTTTTGGGGGGGGGGGGGGTTAGTTTGGGTTTTTTGGGGGAGGGGGGATGGGTTTGGGGGGGGGAGGGGGAGGGGGGGGAAAGGGGGGGGAAGGGGGGTGGGGGGGGGGGGTTTGGGGTTGTGTTTTGGGGGGGTGGGGGGGTGGCTGGGGGGGGGGGGGGGGGGGTTTGGGGGGGGGGGGGGGGGGGGGGGGGGGGGGTGGGGGGGGGGGGGGGTTGGGGGGGGGGGGGGGGGGTGGGGGTTGGGGGGGGGGTGGGGGGGGGGGGGGGGGGGGGGGTTTTGGGGGGGGTTGGGGGGTTTGGGGGTTGGGGGGGGTGGGGGTGGGGGGGGGTGGGGGTTGGGGGATGGGGGGGGGGGGGGGGGGGGGGTTTGGGGGGGGGGGGGGTTTGGGGGGGGGGGGGGGGTTTGGGGGGGGGGGGGGGTTGGGGGGGTTGGGGGGGGGGGGGTGGGGGGGGGGGGGGGTGGGTTAATGGGGGGGGGGGGGGGTGGGGGGGGGGGTGGGGGGTATAATTTTGGGGGGGGGGGGGGGTATTTGGGGGGGGGGGGTGTGGGGGGGGGGGGGTGTGGGGGGGGGGGGGGTATTGGGGGGTATTTGGGGGGGGGGGGAATTTGGGGGGGGGGGGAAAAAAGGGGGGGGGGTGGGGGGGGGGTGGGGGGGGGGGGGGGGGGGGGGTGGGGGGGGGGGGGGGGGGGGGTGGGGGGGGGGGGGGGGGTGGGGGGGGGGGGGGGGGGGGGGTGGGGGGGGGGGGGGGTGGGGGGGGGGGGAGTGGGGGGGGGGGGGGTGGGGGGGGGGGGGGGGGGGGGGGGGGTGTGGGGGGGGGGGGTTGGGGGGGGGGGGGTGGGGGGGGGGGGGGGGGGGGGGGGGGGTGGGGGGGTGGTTGGGGGGGGGTTGGGGGGGGGGGGGGGGGGGGGGGGGGGGGGGGGGGGGGGGGGGGGGGGGGGGTGGGGGGGGGGGGGGGGGGGTGGGGGGGGGGGGGGGTGGGGGTGGGGGGGGGGGGGGGGGGGGGGCAAAAATGGGGGGGGGGGTGGGGGGGGGGGGTTGGGGGGGGGTTAAAAAGGGGGGGGGGTGGGGGGGGGGTTGGGGGGGGGGGTTTGGGGGGGGGGGGAAAAAAAAAAAAAAAAATTTTTTCCAAAAAAAGGGTTGTGGGGGGGGGGGGCGGGGGGGGGGTCGGGGGGGGGGGAAATTGGGGGGGGGGGGGGGTCCCTTTGGGGGGGCCCGGGCTTTCTTTCAAAAACTTGGGGGGGGGGCTACCTGGGGGGGGGGGGGGAAAAATTCCCAAAAAAAGGGGGGGGGGGGGGGGGGGGGGGGGGGGGGGGGGGGGGGGGGGGGAGGTTTAAATAATAAATTTTTTAAAATAGGGGGTTCTTTTATTTTTTTGTTGGAATTTTTTTTTTTTTTTTTCCCCCACCCCCCCGCCCCAAAATTTTTTAACCCTTTATTTTTTTTTTTTCCAGGGCTTTTTTTTTTTTTTTCCCACCTTTGGGGCCTTTTTCAAACTGTTTTTTTTTTTTTTTTTTTTTGACCCCCCCCGAAGGGGGGGAAATTTTTTTTTTCCCTTTTTTTCCTTTTTTTTTTTTTTACCCCCCCATTTTTTGGTTATTTTTTTTTTTTTTTTTGAAGTCTTCACCTTTTTTTTCCCCCCCAAATTGGGGGGGGACCCCCCTTTTGTTGCGGTTTTTTTTTTCCCATTTTTTTCTGGAAACCCCCCTTTTTTCTTTTTTTCCTTTTTGGGGCTTTTTTTTTTTTTTTTTTTTTTTCCCCCCCCCCCCCAATTTTTTTTTTTTTTTAGGGGGTTTTTTTTTTTTTTTTTTTTTTTTTTTTTTCATTTTTTTTTTTTTTTTAATTTTTACCCCCCCCCTTTACCCCTTTTGATTTTTTTTTTTCTTCAAAATTTTTTTTTTTTTTTTTTTTCATTTTAGGGGGCGTTTTTTTTTTTTGGAAACCCCCCCCTTTCCCATCGTTTTTTTGGACCCCCAATTTTTTTTTTTTTTTTTTTTCCCTTTTTTTTTTTTTTGGGGCCCCTTCCCGGGGGGCTTTTAGGGGGGGGCCCTTTTTGGCCCAAACCTTTTGGGACCCCCCCCCTTTTTTTTCTTTTGTTTTTTTTTTTTCCTTTTTCAATTTTTTTTTCCCTTGGGTTTTTTTTTTTTTGGGGTGAGGGGGTTCCAAACCCTTTGGGGCGGCCCCTTTTTTTTCCATATTTTTTTTTTTTTTTTTTTTTTCCAAATATGGGCCTTTTTTTCGTACCCCCAACCCAGGGGGGTTTTTTGGGGGTTTTTTTCCTTGGTTTTATTTTTTTATTTTTGGGGGGTTTTTTTTCGGAATTTTTTTTTTTCTGTTTTTTTTTAGGGGTTTTTTGCTTTTGGGGCCCCGTTTTTTGGGATTTTTTTTTTTGGCCGGTTTATTTTTGGTTTTTTTTTTTTTTTGGATTTTTTTTTTGCACTTAGGGGGAGAATTTTTTTTTTACCGGTTTTGGGGGATATTTTTTTTTTTTTTTTTTCCCTTTTTAAAGGGTTTTTTTTTTCTTTTCGCGAAAAGTGAGGGTTTTTTTTGTTTTTTTTGGGCCCCCTAAGACCCCCCCGTTTTTTTTTTCCCCCGGTTTTTTTTTTTTTTTTGGGGCCTTTCTTTTTCCCTTTTTTTTCCCCAATTTTTTTTTTCAAAGAACTTTTTTCACTTGGGGGGGGGGGGGTGAAACTTTTTTTTCCAAGGGGAGCCAGGGGTTCTGGGACGGCCCTGCAGGGGGGCTTGGGGGCCCAGGGGGGGGTTTTCCCTTTGTTAGGGGGGTTTATTTTTCCTTTTGGGGTTCCCTTTTTGGGTTTTCCCTTTTCTGGGGTTTTTTCTTTCATTTCCAAACCCCCTTTACTTTTGTTTTTTTTTGCCAAACAGGGTCCTTCCGGGGGTTTTTTATTCCTTGTTTTTTTTTTTTTTTATTTTTTCGTTTTTTTTTTAACCAAATTTTTTTTTTTTTTTTCCCTTTTTTAACCCCAGGGGGGGGGATTTTTTTTTTCCCTTTTTTTTTTATTTTTCCCTTTTTTTATTTTTTTTTTTTCCCTTTTTCCCTTTTTTTTTCCCCTTTGTTGGGAACCCCCCCCTTTCAAGGCACCCAAAATTTTTTCTTGTTTGGGGTTTTTTGGGAAATGTTTTGGTTCCCTTTTTTTAAAACCAAACCCCTTCCCTTTTTCAAATTCCAAAAAAAAATGTTTTTTTTTTTAATTCCCTTTTTTTTTTTTCCCCCCCATCCCTCTCCTTTTTTTTGTTTTTAATTTCAGGGGCCCCCCCCCCTCCCCCCTTGGTTCCCCCTTTTTGAATTCCCAGGGGAGGAAAAATTTTGACGGGGGGGGGGAATTTTTCCCCGGGGGGGTTTAATCAAACTTTTTTTTTTTGGTTTGGGGTGTTTCCGTGAATTTTTTAAAAGGGTCCCCCCCCTTTTTTCCTTTATTTTTAAGGGTGCCCCCCCCAAGCCCCCAACTTTTTAAAACCCCTTTATTTATTATCCTTTCCTAAACTTTTGCCAAAAAAATTTAAAAAATTGGGCCCCAAATTTAACCCCCCCTTTTGGTTTTTATTTTTTAATTTAATGCCCCCCCCTTTGTTGGCTTTTCTTCCCCTTTTTTAAAAATTAACTGGGGAAACCTTTAAAAAATTTGGGTTTTCCTTTTTTCCCTTCCCGGGGGGAAATTTAAGGTAAAATCCCCCGGTTTTTTTTTTGGAAATAGATTTTGGGGGGGGTTTGAAGGTTGTTGGCCCCCTTAAAGGGTTTTTCCAAAATTTTTTGCGGCCTCTGATTTTTCCCTTTTTTTCTTAAGAACCCCTCCCGGAAGGATTTTGGGGGTTAAATTTCCGGCCCCCATTTTGCCCTTTTTTAAGGGGGTTTTTTTCTTGGGCCTTTAATTATTTTAGCCTTTTTTTCACTTTTCCCTTTATTGTGTTTTTTTTGTTTTTTGCCGGTTCCCCCCCCAAAAAACAATTTTTTAAATTTGGGGCCCCTCGCTGTTTTTTTTTAAGGTTTTGGCCCCCCTTCCTTTTTTGTTTCCTAGGGCAACCAAATTTTTCCGGGTTTAGAAACCCCAAATTTGGGCGTGGGTTTTTGGCGGTGTGGTTTTTGTTTTTTACTTTTTTCCCCTAAGTTTAACCCCACAAATTTTTGTTGTGGTTGCCAAAAAGGAAAGGTTTTCCCATTTCCCAAAATTTTTTCAGGCCTTTGGCCCCCCCGCCCGGGTTTTTTCCCAACTGGGACGCCCCCCATTTTTTGGGTCCCAACTTTTTTCCTGCCCCAAAATTGAAAGGGGGGGCCCTTTTTATAATTACATTTCCCCCCCTTCCCCTTAAAGGGCCTTTTTGGATTTGGAATTACCCGGGCCCTTAAATACATCGAACCTAAATATTTCCCCTTTTTGATACTCTGTGAATGAAAAAAAACTTCCCCTAACATCGTGTGTATACCTTCCCCTGTGTGTGCGTGTGTGTGTGTGTGTGTGTTTACTACCTATTTGGGACTAAACCCATTTGTGGTTTTCAGGGGGCGATTTCCCAGCTTTTGGCCCCGCCTCTTCCCGGTTGGGATAAAGGGCCCCCTCTCTCCCCCGCTTCCATGAGGGTTTATCAAACCCCGTCTTTTTAAAATGTGTATGGGTTTCCCGGCCACCAAATACGTCATTTTCCCAGGCTATTCCAAATGCCTTTCAACTCTATGACTGAAGAAATACTTCCCCACTATCTCCTGAAATCATTTGTTCTTCAAAATTCCAAAATTTTGGCCTCTTGTTTTTTTGTGTCCCCTCCCTGGAAAAATCCTGTCTTTGTCCACCTTGTTATTCCCGCAAATTTTTTTTTTAGGGCCCTTATCAAAAATTCCCCCGACCCCCCTGGGCCTCCCCGTGTGGCAGGCCGATTTTCCCTTTCTTTCTTCATAGGACATTCTCCTTTTGCTCTGGAAAATAAACCCGGGCGCAAAAAACCTTTTTACTTTTTTTAGTTTCTTGACGTGCTTTATCAAGTGGGGTTCCAAACGGTGGGCATACTCCAGTTTGGGCCCGACATAAAAAACGGTGGACAGTGTCTTGAATTGGGTTCCTTACTAAGGGAAACGGAAAAGCTGGGTTTTCAGGTTTTTCAGGGCCCAAATGCGCAGCAGTTATCTTTTGATGTGGGGGCTTCCGGAGACATGGCCCGGGGTTTTTACTCACCCCCAAAATTTTTTTCTCCTTGGGTGAGGTTTTCAGTCCCTTTGGGGGCCCCTAACCTTTTACTTTTGCTGTGGTCTTCCCGTGGGCCCCTTCCCCCATCTTTATGGAAATTTGCATTTGGCCCGGAATTAAAAATTTGAGAAGCCATTTTTTCTGGACCCGGGTCCCGTTTTGTCCAAATCTCTTTGGGTCTTGCCTGGACCCCCTTTAGTTTTAATTTTTCCCATTTTAATTCAAAATTCATCTGCAAAGGGACACTTCTGAGTTAACCCTTTCCCCTCCCTTTCGGTTTTCATATACCAAAAATGGGATGGTCCTGGGGCCGAACCCCCGTTGGGGAACCCCCCCCCTCGTCCCAGGTTGCCCCACGTGAAATCATTACGTACCCGGACTCGTTGTTGGGCCCCCCTGTCAGGGATTCTCTGATCCATTGCAGTGCCCTTCCTGTTAAAATGCGCCGGGTGCTCTAGCTTCTGCACTAATCTCTTGTTGGGAAAATGGTCAAAGGCCTTCTTGCAGTCCCAAAAAGATGCAATCAAACCCCCCCCTCTCTTAGGGGTCTTTCTTCTGTTATTTTTTCATAAAACTTCCCCGAAAGTTTTTTGCCAGGATTTGGGCCCTTCCCCTGAATCCCCTGCTGGGTTTGGCCTTTAACTCCCGTTCCGGTTCCGGTGCTCCATCACTTCCTCCCGATAAAATTTTTTCTCCATAAATTTTTCATACAAAACACGTCAATGACCCCAGGTCTATAGTTTAGTGCCCTTTTCTGTTCCCCTTTTTTTAAAAAAGGAACACATTTTGCCGTCTTCCATACCTCAGGTAGTTTGGGCCCCGTTTTTCCCGGGTTTTTGTTGAAAATTGTGGGAAGTGGGACGCAAAAAATTTTCGCTTTTCCCCCCCCTTAAAGGGCCCCCGGGGAGTTTTTGTCCCGGGCCCCCTTGCCTTTGAGGTACGATGTCCCCTTTGCAGTTTCTTTTCCCCCCTCCTCATTGTATGTTGTCGTCCAACACTTGTTGGGTATTCCCCTTTCGGTGTCCCCCCTCTGGGGCGTCCCCTCGAGTCCTTCCTGTCCTTTCTGTAAATAAAATTTTTTAAATCGGGGTTGAGCTTCTCACAAACCCCCTTGATCGTTTTTTGTGAGGGTTTCTCCCCTTTTTTCCTCGCCTTTTTCCCCGGTCCCTTTACTGTTTTTCTTCCTCCTAATTTTTGGGTTACCAGTTTCGGGTCCCCGATTTGACTTTCGATTGGGTATGTCGTTTTTTTACTGTCGTGGGGTCCCTCCTTATCTGGCATACTCGTTTTGGCCCCTTCTACTAATTTTCCTTGTTTTCCTGGGTCCTTTTCCTTTCCCGAACCCTTTTTCCCTTTCTGTTGCCTTTTGTTTTTGCTCCCCACACCCTTGGGTAAACCAAGGATTTTTGGGGCTTCCTTTTTTTTTTCTGTTTCCCTTGGGGAAAAAAACTTTTCCCCGCCTCCTTTTTCCCCTTTTTTGCCACATATTCCAAACATTCGTTTCCTGATTTTCTACCTTTTTTCGTCCCAATGAAACTTTTGCAGGAATTTCTCAAAAATGTGTTGGGCCCCCCCCCCTTTTTTTGTTTGGCCTGTTCCCCCTTTTGTTCCTGTTTCCTTTCCAATTTTAAATCTACTAATGCCCAAAAATCAGAAACAAAATGATCCCCTAGCTTTCCCAAAGGGGCCCCGCGTAAGTGATGTCCTCAATGTTGGAAATGCTCAGGGTTTAAACCCAAAAATCCAGGGCTTTTCTGGTCTTTTCCCCTTTCTCTGGTTGTGGCCCCCACCTTTGATGCATTAGGTTTTAAGTACCACATCCTTTATCTGGGGTCTCCCTGTTTCGGGCCCCCAAAGGTTTTCCAAGGTTTTCCCCGTCGATCTCCCCGTGGTGTGGATGTGTGTGTGTGTGGGTGGTGTGTGTGTGTGTGTGTGTGTGTGTGGGTGTGGGGGTGTGTGTGTGTGTGTGTGTGTGTGTGGTGTGGTGTGGGTATGTGTGTGTGTGGGGGTGGTGCGTGTGTGTGTGTGTGTGTGTGTGTGTGAGTGTGTGTGTGTGTGTATGTGTTGGGGTGTGTGTGGTGTGTGTGTGGGGTTTTGTGTGTGTGTGTGTTGTGGTGGGGGTGTGTGTGTGTGTGTGTGTGTGGTTGAGAGGAGGAGGGGTGGGTCGGGGTCTGTTCGGGTTTTCTATGTGGGCTGAGTGTCTGATGTTGTGTGTGTCCCGTGTGCTGTTTATGGGGTGTGTGTATGTTGTCTGTGTTCGTGTGCGGGAGGATTTGTGCTATTGTTTTTCTTTTGTTTTACCCATTTGTGGGGTTTCCGGAAGTTTATTCTTACGGGCCTGGCCCCGGCCTTTCCCGGCTTGCTTCTGGCTTATACCTCTACGGCTCCATGACCCTATCATAAACCCTTTTTTTAACTAGTATTAAACCCGCGTCTTGGGTCCCACACCTTCGTGACCACCCTTTCCCTGTTCTTTTGCTTCCTGTAACATTAGATCCCAATCTCAAACAGATATACCGTTTAAAACCCAAACAGTCACTCATAATTTTCTGTATGGTTCCCAAAAAAAATCACCTGGTTCTATGGTTTGTCCCAAAAAATATTCTCATTGCAAAATTTGCTTTGTTTCCAAAATTCCCGACCTTTTGTTAAAATATGGGTTTCCTTTAAATTTTAGGGGGACTCCAAAAAAGGCCCCGACAAATGCTGTAAAAAAACTCCTGAAAGACTTTCCCTTTAAATCATACATGTTTGCGTAAATTTGAGTTGCTTTTTCCCGCGTGACCTTTTGGGTTTTTTCCCCCCCCAATGATTTCGCTCGGGAAATAGCTTTTTGCGAAATCCCTCCCTTTTTTTTTGGGGGTTTTTCAGGTACTTCCTTCACGTTTTCCCGAAAGATCCTCTAAAATAATCTTGCACCCCTCTGGGGCTTGACTAAACATGGGCCCTTAAAACTAATGCTACCGTCTATTCCCCCCCATAAACCCTAAGAAATACACTCGGCTTTCCCCAAACCCCGGGCAACTAAACGATTCAAGTGACTTGTTTAGGTTCCCTGGGTGTGCTTCAAAAACTCTAAATTAAATTTTCCTCAGGGCCCATGCGATGGGTGTTTCGGTCCCTTACCTTCTGGCTAAAATATGTCGGCCCAAAAAGGGGATAAATTGGCGATTTTGGCTTAAATAGCAAAAAGCTCCCTTCTTTTCCGAATTTAAGGGAAGCGAAAATTTGTGTGTAAAAATTTCACAAAAAATCATTTGAACCTAACGAAAAAAAAATATTTCACTATGTTTGTTTTTTATTAAATTTTTTTAAACTTATCTAAAATATATTTAAAATTTTGGGTTAGGGTGAATTTTAAAATTTCATTCGTTTAATAAAGTTTGGCCCAAAAACTAAAAATTCTTTTGCTGCAAAAAATTTTTTATTTTTACAATTTAAAAAAATGAAAAAAAAATCTTGGGAAAAAATGTAAGAAAAAATTTTTAGGGAAAAGGGCTTAATTTTAAAGTGAGACCCTTTTAACTTAACAATTTTACCTTTTTTTAGGGCCTAAGGACAATTGAAAGGGAGGGTGAAAAAGACACTGATTTTACATGTTGCCTTCTGCCTACTCACCAGGGGCCTGTTTCCATCCCAAAAAATACCTACTTTTTGAGATGCCCCCAGCCTCCAGCAGGGCGAAAACTCAAGGAAAAAAAATATTCTTTAAGACCATGCTAGAGAGTGTAAATTAAAACCCCTCCCCCTGAAGATGGGGCAGTGGTTTAAAAAGCCTCACTTCCCGGGCCGGCATGTGGGGCGGGAGACGCATATCCTCCCCGATTGGCCCCCACCAGTTTTTTATATCCTCTTTTGACCGGGTACCCCCTGCGCCACAAAACTGCCATCCCCCCGGGTCCCCTTTGGGGGGGCAGATGGCGGGGCCGAGGCCCGCTTTTTCCCCCAGCTTTCCCTGGGGGGGAAAAAGTGGCTAGGCCCCGGGGACCGTTGGTTTCCCCAAAAATGAGGGGGGAGTTGTACCCCCTTTCCCCTGGGGAATTAAAATCCGAGACATTCCCCGGGTAGGGAGCCAAGGGCCCGGGGCCCCCCCCCCACTACTTGGAAAAGGGCCCGGGGCCCGGGGGAAACCCGGGGCAAAAAAAAAAAAAAAAATTTCCCCTTCCATAAAATCAATGAATTTAAAAAAACAAATTTTTTTGATAACCTCAGGTTTAGAAAGGAAAAACAGGCACAAAACTACGCCAAAAGCCTTCACTGAATGGGGACTCTTGCTGCTCCAGCACCCCAAACCTAGTGCAGGGGAATTTTTCCCCGCAAACAAAATCAAATTGGGATGGCCCCAAACGCGAAAAGATGGGTTGGGCAACATTCTCAGGGGGCTGTTAAAATCAGACAGGGAGACTGCCCGTCTCCAAGATGGAGCGGGAATTACTCTGGACTAAACCGCCCCTTTCTCCCCTTTTACACGGAAATTTCACGTGTATTTTCGGCGTTTCGCAAGCCAAGCAAAATTTTCTGCATTTTCCCTTTAATGTTTCCCAAAAAAACCCAAGGGGTGGGCCGCAAGACACAAATTTAAAACAAAGCCACATAAAGAGAAAACCCTTGCCCAATGCTGGGGTGCCCCGCCGGGGAGAGCCCAAACACTAGGGGCTGCAAATGGGGGGGCTCTCTAACAACCCCGCAAAACCCCCCAGACAGGGTCAAACCCTCTTTTTCCCCCCGGGGGGTTTTT